ATTTCATCTTTAGCGATTTGTCATCAAACAAACTGTTTATTATTTGAACAATTAACATGTTTTCGTCGTTTTTTTAACATATACCGGTAGTTAACATAGAAGAAAAAAACAATAAGCACGACAGTCCGTTTTTGCATCGCCAAACCAGATGCTCGTTAGATAAAAAAAAAAAAAAATGTCATAATGATTTTATGCAAACCTGCCTTGTTACTACAAAAGCCTACTTTTTAAACAAATTAGTTTCAATCAAAACTATTCGTGTGATGCCACTGCGCAATACACACATTACCACGGGATGGATGAGTGTTCATCTCATTAACTGTGGACAATGGTAGCTTATTTAATGTAGCCTATAAATGAATGTATATGTCCAAAAAACGGATAATGTCATCATACTTGTAGTGCTATCGTCGAGTAATAATCTGTTTGGTTGTAAAATGTATTACCTGAATGAAATGAACTTGAATGTATCGTCCTGTGGAATCATTCATTCACAGACATCATACGAAGATGTTCAACTAGATCGCTGGCAAAAATATGATGCATTTGCAGATTTGCTTTCACTAGACTGTACTGTAGGTCCACGGCCACTTCATCCAACGCTCTTGATGTTGTTAAATCTTCCTGTTACGACTCCATGTCGAGTGTGAACTGAAAGCGCTTCAGACGATTCAGTGCGTGAGGAACTGAACAGATCATTCAAACTGATTCGCGAACCGATTTAGACAGATCTGCCAACTTGTTTGATGAAGTCTTTGAACAGAATCGACTCAAAAGAGTGATTCATTTGTGAATGGAGCATCGCTCGTGCCCATAAAAAAGACACAGCGCGCTTGGAATAAACTACGCATTTAACAATATGTATTGCATTAAAATAAAGTAACGAGTGGAACGTCGCCCAACGTAGTGAAGTAAATGTAGATTACTTTGTAACTACCATAGACGGTTACTACCATAGACAGTAAAGGTTAGTCTATCCACCTCTGCTGCGCGCAGAGTTAACGGTCACGACAGTGCTCTTCTTCTGTTGTTTGTTTACACTATGTATAAAACACTGGTATCCTAGATCGCGCAGGAGGGGGTGTTAGTTAGTGCACATGTTAGTGGCACCTTGTGTCCCTGACAGGAAAATACCCTGCTGCGCGATCTAGGACAGTAGGCGCGCCGTCAATTATGTCACATTGGAATTGCGCGAAAATGTAACATATTCGAATAAGCAATTTTATGATCGAATTTCGAACGCAGTTCGACTATTCGAAGATCGCGACTCATCCCTACTTTCCGCCAAGCGAATTTGCATGTCTCCAAACATAAAATTCAACACATATATTTGCGTACATGTTCATTCACATGCATATGAATGGAAGTTTACAGAATGCAAAATTTAGTGTGACCGCCCCTTTAGTTATCACTAGGGCTGAGTATCGTAACAAAATGTTCGATACCGATACCTTGACTTCGATACCGGTTCCTGAACGATACTTTTTTCGATACCAATTTTATGTAACCAGTTTTAACAATATAACATTACCTAATTTTTATTTTTTCAGTTTTTTTTACTTTTTTACACTTATATTTTGAGTATGTAAAAAAGCACCAATGCTAAAGTTTTCTATGTTTCCTAATCATTTAACGACATGTATTCTTTACTTCAATGAGCTCATTGTTTCTGCCTTAACTTAATGCATTGTTTAACAATGAAACTGAATGAAAATTAATTGAAATGCATTACACTGTCACCTCTGATAACAGATCACTCTAAATTGTAATTTAGACACATGCATTTTCTGTAAAGCTGCTTTGAAACGATATGTATTGTGAAAAATGCTATACAAATAAATGTGAATTAAATTAAATATAGGCTACTGGGGGGCGGGATATATGCCTCGCGCTCAGCACACATGAAGCTTGCCGCAAAGCACTGGCAAAAGTAGCCTAATGATTATGGATGTTCGGAAACAATAGCAAGGAGATATTTTAATTGTTTATTAATGAACAAGTGTTTACTAATGGTGTTTACACCGAACGCGAATTTAATTATTTGCGCGAGTAGATTACATACAAAGTCAATGCAAAGACGCGAATAGACTCGAATTGGGCAACGCGTTTGCCGCGAACGTCTTCCGCGCAAGTTGAAAAATTTGAACTCGAGCGGAAGATTCAAACGTCTATCTAGACGCGATAGACGCGTATTTGACGCTCGAAAATATTGCATCGCGTGCTTCTGGCATCGAGTCTGGCACTTAGGTACACTTTGGATCATTTCCACATATTTTCTATCTATCTGGGTTGGGACGCTTACACACACACACACACACAACAGCCTCACGTGCGACGAGCCACGTCTCTGGGCAGCCGCGTAAACTAGTGTTTTTCCGCCACAGCCAATCATGCTGCATGCTTATTGTTTCACTGACGTTGACGAGATTAACCACTTCGGTACCGAAATTTGGTACCGAAAAACAAGACATGTTTCGATACTCGGTAGTATCGAGGCAATTTGGTCGGTACCTAAAAAGTACCGAACTCGTACCCAGCCCTGGTTATCACAAAGTCCTGTAGTACATCAACACATTTCCTCTTACAGAAAAATCGAAGAGCTGTTCCTCAAGGAACATGCAGAAAAAAACGAACTTGGAATAACACCAGAATTCTCAATGGCCGATTAACCTACACAACCTTCTCCAGAACATCTGCCCACATGGAAGAAGAGAAAGAGGAGAAAAAGAGTCAGAAAGCAGAAAGAACAGGCTAAATCTTTAAGCCAATGCTAAAAGAACATATACTATATCTAAGTACTCATGACTAAAGTAGGACAAATGTGTAAAGATTATGGAATAAGCGTTTCTGCGACAGCTCAATAAATCATAAACTGAAGAGAGAGTGGGGAAATACAGGAAATACTGCCTTGTTTTTAATATCTTCTCCTCTTACCTCTGCCTCATCCCTTCTTTATTTTCTATCTCTTCCTGGAAATCCCTTCTTTTCCTCTCCCTCATCCTCTTACCTGATTGTTAAGGACTCTCTCACCTCCTCTCCTTTCTAGATTTCTCTGTTTATCAGACCATAACTGCAACCGCAATCAACTAAACCAGCATTTCAGAGGAGAGAAAGAGAGTGTGTGGAAAATGAGAGATGGAGAAGGCAGAGGAATTACATTTCTCCAACTATGATGGAGTTTAAACTGGATTGGAGTCTAGAGGAATCAGGTCACCTAACTGCATCTGACAGGCATGAGAGAGAGAGAGAGAGAGAGAGAGAGAGAGAGAGAGAGAGAGAGAGAGAGAGAGAGAGAGAGAGAGAGAGAGAGAGAGAGAGAGAGAGAGAGAGAGAGAGAGAGAGAGAGAGAGAGAGAGAGAGAGAGAGAGAGAGAGAGAGAGAGAGAGAGAGAGAGAGTGAGAGAGTGAGAGAGAGTGAGAAAGAGAGAGAGAAAGAGAGAGAAAGAGAGAGAGAAAGAGAGAGAAAGAGAGAGCATGAAAGAAAGAAAGACAAAATGAATAGAATTGAGCAGGACAGTAAAAAACAAAACAGAAGAGAATAAAACAGATTTAGAGAACAGAAAAAAAATGATGCAGAATAAAAAATTTCAATTTAAACTTGTTGCCTTGGCAAGTAACCTAAATAAAATAAGTAATTAAATAAAAAATAAATAAAAAATAAATAATTTTAAGTAAGCAATAAGGTACGAGAGGCTGTGCTGTATCGTGAATAAGTCACGGCTGAAGGGCGTTGTCAATAAATAAATACTAGGAATGCACGATATATCGGCCACCATATCGGTATCGGCCAAAATATGTTCATTTTTAATGTTAGCGTTATCTGCCCGATGAGAAAATTTGGCCGATATCTTAAAGCCAATAAATAATGGATTATTTCCAACAGCTGAGACACTTAAGATGCATTAATGGTGACTTTTGTTTTTGCAATCAGGATCTCAAAAATTATATAGAAATCTGGATTTAGATTTATCAGCATTCAAATATAAAGAATTATCGGTTATCGGTGTCGGCCCAAATTTTCATATTGGTGCATCTCTAATAAATACTACAATGACATAAAAATAAAGAATAGAACAGACAGAGGGAATAAAACAAAAACATAATGAAAAAAATAGAATAGAATAAAACAAAAAACAGAATAGAATATGACATGACAGAACAAGACAGAGGAGAATAGAACAATAGAATAGAAATGTATTCTTCATGTGTTCAGTGACTGAGATTACCTCGTGATTAGGGATTTCCTGAGAAAGTTCATATGAGTGTGAGTGTTAAGGAAGTTGTGCTATGTTCTGTTTATATTGAGGTCTGAGCAGGGCTGATGGGGCATGGGAGACAGACAGTGCTGTTATGGAAACTGAACTCATCCTTAGAGAAGATGTTTGTGTTCTGATTTATGGAGTGTTTTGGGCAGGAGGGGGTCGCCGTATGCGTGAATTGAGAAGCTGCTGGTTTGGGTCATCATGGGAACCAAAACCTGCCAGACTGACTATTAGTGGTACTGATGTTTAAAATACACTTGGGAGACCGACATATGCATGCACATATGATTGAGTTCAGGTCAGAGTAACCTAATCTCAGAGTCTCTTTGGCTATGAAATCGGAGATGGGCATAACGGAGTCATATTACACATACACACAGAGCAAACATTCAAACTCATATATGCACAGGCCGATAAAGATCCACCTATTTCCACAAGACATTAATTATGTCTCAGAGGAACAATGAGGATTTCCCTTCTCAGACAAACGAGAGGAAACCTCAGGCCTTGCCACAAAAACATGCACTAAAACTTCACACCTATACATATAAAATTAATACTACTTGCTTTGATATTTCTGCACTAATACTGGACATTGTGCTGGTGAAGCATCATAAAGTCAAGCATAATCAATTATCTCAACAATACACTTCCAAACCTACGATATCACATTTGGGTCAGGTTGTACCATTATCTGCATTGTTGTAAAAAAAAAAAAAGAAAGTGTGTTGGGTCTTACCTGTACCAGGAGCTCCAATTTCCTGTCATCCAGGAGATGGACCTGACATCTCCGCCCTTCCGTCATCTGTTGTGGAGGGGGAGAGAGAGAGAGAGAGAGGGGGAGAGAGAGAGAGAGAGAGAGAGAGAGAGAGAGAGAGAGAGAGAGAGAGAGAGAGAGAGAGAGAGAGAGAGAGAGAGAGAGAGAGAGAGAGAGAGAGAGAGAGAGAGAGAGAGAGAGAGAGAGAGAGAGATTAATGAAAGCACATTCACAACAGGGTGAAATCAACTGTAAATACTAGGTCATGGTGACATTACAAAAATAGAAACTCTCCTTACACACATGCAGCGCGATTCCCAATCAAGCAGCAGAATTCAATCTCTTTCACTCCCACACACATGCACACATATTTAAAGTGAATTATCGCACACTTCAGAGATGATACTGAGTAGCTTGGATTTTTTGTAGGATGTCATAGGTCTTGTTTGATTTAGCCCCTTCTAGTTCTTAAAACATACAGTTAAGTACACATAACTTGGCCACCACCAATCTTTACGAAATTTACTAATCAAGTATTGTTATAAATAAATAAATCAACAAGTAAAAGGCATCTTGTATCACAGAGAACATGCAGACTTTTATAGCTGGTCAGAGATGAGATAATGACTACTATAAATTTACAAATAGTGATGTTTTAATGTTCTGCACGTTGCAATTTTTTTTACTGACATACAAGCAACCACTGTTTATTTTGTTTTTACATGTTGTTTAGGGTCAAGTTTCTCTGAAACAGCTGATCCAACAAATACTATAAAACACTTGGGAAAAAAATGGGAGTAACATTTACAGAAAATACCAAAATTAAAAGGCATTAGTTAAAAACAATGGTTACACTTTATTTTAAGGTGTCAGTATTACAGTGTAGTTATACATTTAAGTGCAGAGTAATAATAATTAACTACATGTACTTACTATAGGGTTAGGATGAGGTTAGGGTTAATTGCATGTTATTACGCATCATTTATAGTTATTACTACAGTAACTACATGTAACGTGTAACAATGTAACGTGTTACCAAACTAACATTCTAAAGATTATTTCATAAACAAAAAGAATAAACAGTTCTGCTCGTGAATATCTAGCTTAATTGCTTCTAAGTGCCTCAAACAGACTAGACAAATCAGGACTAATCTAGTCACAAATGTAAACTCTGCAACTTTGGCCATTAAAGGAATAGTTCACATAAAATTGCAAATTCTGTCATCATTTATGTTGTTCTAAATCTGATTCTGCATGACTTTTTCTTCAGTGGAACACAATAGATGATTTATGAAAAATATCCATATAGTAAATGTCAATAAGGTCCAATGTTGTACAAAAACAGTTAAAGTAGAAATAGTAGGAACTTTCTTCAGATTTTTTTTTTTCCGTGTGTGTTCTGCAGAAGAAAGAAAGTCATACAGATTTGGAATAATGACAAAATATTTGGGTTAACTATCCATTTAAACAATTGCATACGCAACTCAAAACTGCAGTTAACTACATAAAGTCACTTTGTATTGTTCATACGTTATGACTATACACATCAGACATAAGCTTCTATCTAGAGATCAGGGCTTACAGCTGCTGTTAATATCTGTGTTAATACAAAACACCCCTCAACCATGGCTAATTTGTGAAAGAGGGATCGTGCCATGTCAGTCCGTATAGATACCTGCACCAGTGCACAATCTGATTAGTGCTTTGATTGCCATCTGTCATGGCGGCGAATGTCTTTTTTTATCAAAGCCAGAAAGGACTGCTCATAATTAATATTAAATTAAGTCTGCAGGAAAAAACAAACACGCTAACATCCCAGTTTCCTCCAGGCTAAAATGAGAGTGTGCAGTGCATTCAGAAGTCCTCACACTGTGACAAGGTTGTCCAGACGCACACAACCTATGAAACATGTTTAGAGTTACTATCGTCTGCACACTCCTATCGTTTGATCTCAAATCACTGCTTGCTCCTACTCACTTTCCATTCTGTCTCACACACAATTTTTCTGAGTGTTTACTTAAGATTGCTGCTTCTGTGCCAAGCCGTATAGTAAACATCCCATTACGAGCAGGTGGACGGACACATCTGTGAGGAACAGAGTCTGACTAACAGCCATGTCATCGCTTGAGTTATATGGCCTTTAGGATTGAGCTGGTTGGACAACTCGAATACAAAGAACTAAAGTGCAACCAGATACTCCCATTGTTCTTTTCCCTTCTTCAAGAGAGCTTTTCATTTTTTGTTTATTTTCTCTTTAAGGAAACATTTTTTTCCAAGGAATCTGAGAGTTGGTGAATGTGATACTAACAGTGGCGGTAGTTCACATCCATCAGCGGACTTTCCGTCCGGTTCCTGTTTATACATCCTTTATGGATAGACGAGTCAGAAAGGCAGCAGTGCACTGACTCACTCTCTCTAGTGTGCTATATCTCGCTCTTATTCTATCTCTCCATGCTTTCCTGCTCTCATCCACCCCCTCTGCCTCTATATGTAGGCCAAGCTAAAAGGAATGTGGAGAAAACGGAAGAATACAAGATGTTTCTTAAGCTTTTCAGCGTGGTGGTGTACGTAAGGACATCAGAATGGGAACATGTGGAGTGTTCTGGCTGCCATCAGGAAGCACCGTCCCTGAGGAACACTAACAATGAGGCTGATAAAAGCAGCATGGCTCACATTTCCTCCACGCACACGTGGGGGGAAAAGACTGGAGGAGGGGAGTCACAGGACTAGAAACACATCCTTTCTTCCTCTTCTCCTCAGCAGAGCTACAGAGCCACGTGACTGACCACATGATTGATATTGTGTGTCTGAACAGACTGGTGTGAGTTTGTTGTTGACCTGTGAAGATGTGTTTTACAGGGGGGCTTGGCTTGATGAATTTCTCTTGGTTGTGCTAACATTGAAGCTAACTCAACAGCATAGAAACTCTAGCTCCTAAAAACTGATATCCTGTCTTCAGAATAACATACCCTTAGGCAACATCCATATTCTTATCCCTCAGTAGATCACATTTCCATATTATAAAGACAAACCTAAATCAATATGAACTGGCTCACCTGAATGGTCCAGTCTTTATTTATGTTTTTCTTTTTTTAATTGTATAATTCCTTCCCTGGAGCAGCACATGATCCAATTAGGTCGAACTTTTATGATACTCATTTATAAGAATAAAAATGGTAGCATAATTGATCCAAACTAATGCAGCACGATTAAAACCATATATCTACTCCAGTTTAGGTATGTGTAATGATGGTTGGCTAATCTACTAGTTGTCCAAAAACCAAATAGATCCTTTTGAAAGCATCTTTATGTAAACCCCCCTCCTAAGAAACACATTTGATTGAGTTCAGTTAAACCAAAACCAGCCCAATTAAACAGGACTTCCTAAAAAAACAAAGAGTTGATTATTGTTTGGGCGATCTTGAAAATATGTAGCTTTGCACATTCATGTTACAGTTTAGAATGATCTTTGTATTAAAAGAGTAAAATAAATCCCAGCCAACACCTACTCAAAATGTAAACAATTAAAAATAACAAATAAATTAATTAGTGCTGTCACATCGATTAATCGCGAGTAATTACATCTAACATTAAAGTTTGTGTTTATATAATGTGCGTACAATATATTGTTTATATGATTATATTTATATATTATATGTATGTGTGTGCGAGCGTCTGTGTGTATACTATGTGTGTATAATATATATATGTATACTGTGTATACATATACAAACACAAACTTGTATGTTTGACGCGATTAATTGATTTGACAGGACTAAAATGAATACATGAATAGAGAATACATCTTACTCAATCCTTCCTCAAAGTTCGATATCTTTGTATATTAACTACTATAATTAAACACAAAACTTTAGAATTCCATGGAATGGATTTAAACAAAGTTAAACAGCATTACATATATTGGCAGCTAAAACCATATTCAAATTATCCAAAACATTTAATAAACACACATAGTTGTGGGATGTGTAAATGATGGCTGTTCCAATTTTAAGGGGATCTCTGAAGCTCTCTGAGAGCACAGATTCCATGTGGGCCTGCTCATAGCAAAAGCAAAACATGCAGATCCCACAAGCAAGAGTTTGCGGCATCTGATATTGGGCTGACTTTCCAATCTTAAAGGTTAAACTTCATTACCGACCTTGCGGTAGCCCAAAAGCACCACAGTTTTGTTACATCACCATATTAAACCTCTTAAGGTTTGAGTCAGGCTTGATAGGAACACTTCCCACCACACAATAGGAGATTAAAAACCTGAGGCTTTGAATAGAGCAAACAGCACATCCCTAAAGCCTGAAGCTCAAGATGTCAAACCTCCGCTCCACTAAATGAGAACACTTCTCACTGGGGTGTATCTGGAGGGGGAGGTGAACAGCTCTCAACCACAATGTCAGAATCTAACAATCAGGTGCTGGGAATTGTGTGTTTGTAGTAGTGTGTTTGTGTGTGCTGTGTCTGGTGTGGGGTTACAAAATGCCTTGCCTGTAATCACTGAACGGTGAGTCACTGCTTTCTCAGCTGAACTCCAGAGTGGCACACTACACTCACACTGCCCTACGAACCTGTGATGTCATTAAAATAGCATAGCACAGACATTTCAGTCAGTGTAATATTTGTAAATCATTGTCATTCTTTTATAGATGATGAAAGTAGTGCTTGCACAATTCATCTAAATGAAAATGAAATTGCGATAGGGCTTGGTGCGGCTTAATTAAATAATATGTGAAACACTGTGTGTTTCAGAGTGAAGCATGGCACTTTGTTCTTTTACACACGAGCGGCTCATAATCCACTGCCTAGTGTCTCGTCACAGTAAATCACAGTAAATACTGCTTTGCACAAACTCATCTCTGCATCTTCCTTGAGTTTGAGTTGCGTATAAAGTGCATTTGGGAACGTAACGTGCTAACCATCTTCCCAAACTCGTACGAGAACTTTAGAAGCGATTATAAACTGTCATCAACTAAATATAAGCTTTAAAGTCTCCCTGTGGTTTTATGCCAAAATAAAAGCTTGATAGTTTAACATTC